AATCAGATTTGAGTATAAATCTCAAAATTTGGCGCTTTTAAAAAAAAATTGGATGTTTCTTGCTGTCCGGTACTGTAGCAAAATGTATGAGTAAGATATAGCCAATTCCTCCTCTAGAATCAGACCTTAACCTAATAGTAAGATGTGCACGTCACAGAAGCCCTATTCGCGTTAATATTTTCACATTCTAAAGAACATGTAAAAATAAAAATCTTCAGTTGACGCTTTAGTGCTAACGCTTTCTTCCCTTCTTTCGTCTCAGGCCCTAATAGCTCTACCAACACTTTCAATTCTTTACCTAAATCACGATATGACGACACTTTTGGCTTATCGGAATAATTTATGAAATAAAAATTGTCCCATGTGTTTATCGTCCACTGCGTGTACGGCCTTTCCCAGTAGTAATGTCGAACTTCATTTAAAATTTCTTTTGACAACATCGTTATGCAAGAAGTTAACAGATGGCAATATGACATCTCGACGCGAAAAAAATTTAACACGCGAAAAATTAAGTTATATATTTAGCAAATGACTCAGCATTTCAGTCCATTATTGACACAAAAAACGATATACGCAGATGACTGATACGCAGAAAAATTCTTATTTGCGATTCATCTCGGAGTCGGGAGCTAACCAGAATGGGCAGATCGCAATCTCTAAAACATCAATCGAATCCAAATCTGAAAATTTATAGTAGTTTCCTTTCCACTAAAATAATATATATATGCCTTTATACGTTTGTGAGTTACAAATCCTCTGTATGAATGATGCTTTAGGCCTATATTTCTCACATTCTGAAATTCTGATGATTTGTACAAAGTTATGCTCCACATAAAGTTGTTAGGCGAAACCTAGAGGTTTCGCCATTGGTGAAAGGCGAAACCTAGTTACGACTTTCACCAAAAAAAAATCAAAAGACGAAATGGCGAAACTGGCGAAAGGTGGCGAAACTGGTGAAAGATAACGAAACTGGTGAAAGGCAATAATAGTGGCAAAAGAAAACTAATGTAATTGATAATTTTGTTCTCTGAATCTCATTCCATATTTGTCTAGCAGTAAGATGTTATTTACCTTCTCTCTTTATATCGCCATAGTTTTCATTATGGCGCTTTGTAAAATTTGAAAAGTTTGACTACTGATAGTGAGTCAATTTAATTTGACTTCATGTATACATATCAAGATAAATTAGTGTAATTGTCGTACGTCGGAACGGAATTATTGTGGATTTAGAATCTACTTAGAATTCCAAATATAGTCCAAGTTGATATGAAAGTTAAAAGCAACTTAAGTTGATTCTAAATTCGATACTGTAATTTAACGTTAATAGCAACTTAATTTTAAATTGATACTTTAATAAATGTGTAATCGATCGCCGTAACGGTAGTCAAATAAATTACATCATATCATGATAAATTATCAAGATAAAATGCAAATGTTTTATTATTTTCTTTTTCTTAAATCACTTGTTCGTTCTTTGTACTCTCTAGCCGATGACCAAATTCTCAAGATTATTCATTTTGCCTCATGATTCATTCGAAGAATTGCTTTCCCAATATCTTAGCAATCAATCGGCTAACAGTTGACATAGACTTTGATTTTTTGTATTAAGGTTTTACAAGATCCAGAAAATACAAACACAAAGATCGAAAAACACTTATGTGCAAGATTCTCAAAGTTTGGAGGATGACACACATAATATAGACTTGGGTGCAATCTGGTATTATTAGAATCTATCTATTATATTAAAGTCCATTGTCCGTCCGTCAACACTGGCCAATCAGATCCTTCCATCTTGATGATCACCACATGTTCATTATAACTATATAATCATAAGCACGTATCGTTTCACTAATAAAAAATCGCCACAAATTTCACTTCTACCTCTAAACGAACTTTATTTAATATTCACTGTGCAAAAGCATCTCAAAATCATCTTAATCCCGATGAACTTTGCTTAGAAGACAAAATATACCTACCGTTTATTGGGCGATCTTGAATTAAAGATAAGTGGGAATGTTTTTGTTCAAGACTGCCTTATTACATAAACTTTTATTACTAACTATTGAGTTTGAATAAGAATAGATTTATTGTAAAAGAAGTTCTGAGTTTAATACTTAAATATGTTTGGTTCTTGTGTTGTGTTTGGGTCTGTTAACCGTAATAAGTTTTGGTTTATAGATTGTAAATTGTATTAATTGAGTTTGGGTTTATTAAAATGAATGTTACCTTTACTCCATATTACATCTATCTATATTATGTTTTCTATATATTTGAAATAAATTAATACTTTTATATATTAATTTATAATCTTTATATGAAATTTCTGGTAATATTAAAGTGATGAATTTTTTAAAATTATGTAATTTAATGATTATTATAATCATAAAAATAATTTTTTACAGGGTTTGGGTCCTATAGCTTAGTGGTTAAGCTTCCAAACCCTCACAGACAAGGCTGATTTTTCCAGCCTTTTTCCTGAGACCAAAAAGCCTTTTTAATAAGCACTTTTTCTCTTTTCCTAGAAATATACAAGATTAATTTGTTTCAAGTCAAAAGCAAAGCAAAAATAATATTTTGCGTTATTTTAGCCTATTGCGACAGATAGTTCAACTCTACCTGGAAGCATAAAATTAGTGATTTTTAATCCTTTATGAGCCAATTGGCAAAAGCACTATTTTGGATGCGAAGCTCTGTGAAAAGTTCAAGTGCAGTACAAAACCAAAATATGGAGTTTTCAGAAGAAGATCTGATTATAGAGTGGTGCCATTACATATGTCTCTCACAGAAGGTCTAGGTTGTAGAAGATCATATATATAAGTTTTCTGGTTGGGTAACCTAAAGACAATACTAATATCTCTTCACTTCTGCTTTAGGTAGTACTAACATCTTTGTATTCAACTTGTGGGTACTTGCTTAGAAGAATAATCAACAGATCATGTATATTAGTCCTAATTTGGATTGGCATTGGGTATTTGCTTGGGAGGATGATACAATACTACCAAAACTGGAGTAATAAGAGAAGCAGTGGATATGTAAAAGGGCTGTGGTAAAAGATTATACCTTAACTAGAATTGAAAGCATCTTTAATATCAGTAGAATAACTATAAAAGACTATTTGGCATAAAGAATATAACCCACTTCTGTACATTTAAAGGTACCAATTCAGGCTTTAGTTAGGAGTATTTAAGGAGGTAGTATATTGTACCAGATAATTTAGAAAATATTAAAACTTGGTGAAAGCAAACTGGTAGTGGTAACAGAGATCTAGAAAAGTAAGTAGAAGAGTCTGCAGCATTTATATAATGTATAGTTGCATGAAGAGATGCAAGCTAATAATAGGTAGCACAAATACAAAATAAGTTCAAAGATCTGACCTATAATACTAATACTTCTTATATAGAACTGGTGGTGGCAGCAGACATCTGGTTTGAGAAATATATATGAAAGGCCACCTAATAAAAAAATACATACCAGTATAAAGTTTCTAATAACAGACACATCAAATTAGAAGGCTATAAGGGATCAATTTCCTAAATAAACCAATTTGGAAGTAACTAAGATTTGACAATAAGACATAGGTGAATATAGTAGGTAACTAGAAATAGTCTAAATACCAAATCCAGGTATAACCCAATATATAGTAAAAACATAATATATTCTAGTAGATTTAGGTTATAGATAAAATTGTCTAAGTCTGTATTCTTAAGATAGATATATAGCTATATAAGACAAATACTTACAAACATCTAATTAAGATATGAGACAAGACCTCATCTTAATACCAAAAAAAAAATAATAATAATAATTTTTTACTTGATAAATTTTACCAATTTCTATGATAGAGATATGGGTTATATGTTAATTATATATAATATCTATTATGCAATCTTTTTCATACTTTTTTATTTAATATTTTTGATACTTGTATTAAAAACTCTGATTATTCTCCTTAATTATATTTTATAATACTGATATTACTCAAGCTTTAGAAGATCTTGTTAACATATGACCAGTATAAAGAGAAGGCTTTACATACAAATTTTAAACTATTATCTCTGATTTATTTTTAATTATTCGAGAATTATCGTTATTACATTCACATCGCTTATATATTCCATTCGCTACTTTTTGCATGTCTTGCAATATAACTAATAAGAAACGTATAAAATAATTCAATTAGAATATACGATTTTATTAATGCCAAACTACGATATATTGATTGTATTTCTCAATTAATAACGTTAGACGTGATGCTGTTTTTAACCTCTTATAAAGTCTAAGCTACTTTGTGTTACTATTTATTGGAAGTATGTACTTGTCTCTAGGATAATAAATAAGCCGTGAAATAAATTAATAATGTAAACTTTTGAAAATATATAAGTTTAATAGATTATAACGATAAGTTCTATTTATACTTGCTAGTTAAATTGAAACGTCTAAACATACCTCTCAACTAACTTCTGGATTACCTCGCCGATTACCGTATTCGTGGCACCGAATTCATTTTTGTTACAGCAAATTGTTAATTAAGACTTAAGATGATCGGCAAAATCAGCCAACCATAATAAAACCTCTATGCTCTTCTAACTAAAATTGTAAAGCTAGTTTTTCCTTCTGATAGTGGCAGAATTGCTTAATATATCACGAGTATAGATGCTGGTGAAACCGGTGAAACTCTTGGCGAATGGTGGTGAAACTGGTGAAACTGGTGAAATTTAATATAATATCCAATCAGATTTTAGATAGTCACCAGTTTCACCAGCATCTATAATCACGAGGTATAGCATTTTCAATTTTTACTATGATTTTTCCTTAAGATTAGAAAAGTACAAACATTTCGCTTCTATATGAAACAAATAGTATCTTATTACTGCACTGATTTTTACTACAGTTTGGGACAGCTAAAGATATCCACTTCTTCCGTGATGTGCCAAATTTCAGAAAAAAAATAGATATATTAACCAATAAAATTCTTTAAATTATATATACGCGCCAAATTTCTAAAAATCAATTTTTAAATTGCTACGTATAACTTTTTTAAAATTAAAAATTTAAAAATCCCTCTTTCATATTTGTCATTTAAATAAATTTGAAAGAGGACAATTTTTTAAAAAATGGATATCTTTAGTTGTTCCGGACTGTATAAATTTATATCCATTAACTGCAGACTACCCGTTAAATAATTTTCGAAAGGTTTTAAAAACTATTATGAGACTTAAACTCATATAGTTAAGAAAGTAAAGATATTTTTAAAAAATTTGTTATTGTATTAATGGTTACATAATAAGATTAAAAATTTTAAAACAAAAACATAATTATACTGTTATATAGATATACTTAGAAAATTTTAGTTTTATATACATATATATATATATATACGTATAACTTTTTAAGAATTAAACTTTGTCATAAAAAGAACTTTCATGTGATCTTTCATCGCTAAAGCATATTTTCGCCGTGAATCTTTCAGAAAAACGAGATGCCCGACTAGAGCTATACCGTGTATGTCAATCAAGGTTAATTTTCAGCTAGAAGATAAATTATTGGAGAAAGTTCTATATGAAACAATTGCATTAATAAGTATGATTTTTCGGTTTACTGTGTTCACAATGAAATACCAGATTTGCAAACCAATAATTATCTCATAAATGTAGCTGATAACTTTATAACACAAGATTTGTAAGTATATTGTATTGATACAAATACAGTAGTTTAAACAAATGAAAAACTTATTGTGTTAATACAAAATACAGTAGTTTAAACAACTGAAAAACTTATTGTGCAGGCGATAGCAGTGTTGTACATTTGGCTGTCCAAGCTTTTTTGACCTTGCTCTGGGACGTCCCAGCTTGTTCTGTCAATTTCTCGATTGTTGGCTTGAAAAAATAATAATAAAGCACAGTCAGACCTTGGTATAATTACCATGTTGGGAAACAAAAATTTGGTGATGATAAAAAGTTGTAGGTCAAAATTCATATGGTTTATAGTAACTAGGACAAAGGGATTATAACGAGTTTTAACTATATTAGAAGTGATTATAATAAGGTCTGACTGTAAAAGATTTTTTAAAAAACTAATATTTAAATAAACATAACGGAAGTTGTAACCAGATAAAATATAAGGTAAATCATGGCAAATCGAGTTTGGAAATTAAAATAAATCTAAGTAAAATTGTTAAAAAAGCTTTTATAATCTCTAGTTATAAAAAGAGATTAAATTACAAATTATTTAATTGTTTACAGTATTACAGTGTTCATTATTTAAATAATTTAATTATTCTATTCAATTTTTACGGATGCTTTTATATAACTTACGATAATCCATTATAATATTTTTTTTTTAAAAAAATGTCAACCTTGAAATAACTTATTTAAAATTAATATTACAAGTCTATAAAACACTTTGATTTGATACCCACTAAATACATTACACATTACCCTGAAATTTTTTAAGCTTCGATTTTGATACCAAATCGAGAAACCTGTTAAAAAGTGATTTATAGAATATGTTAATAAGGAATTAAAATATTGAAAATTGGAATAAATGCTAATTGATTATATAAAATACTCACTTTCCAGTACAACTATATCCATCAAAATCTATAAAATGGGTCAAATTAGACAATATTCTAATGATGGTCAAAAATGATTATAAAGTTTTTTTTTAATTATCTTACCAAAACTATCATCAGGGTTACAATGGCATTTAAGCTGTAACTTTTCATCCTTAGGACAATGAACGAACGGTTCGTGCTTATACCCTATTTCATTGAAAAAGTGTATTTGGTGTTTCTTCAAGAAAAGAGCGGCAGCTATTGAGTGAACCGGTGCATCCCCCCAACTATTATAAAATAAAAAAAAAATAATAAGTACGGAGGGTCAACACAGTGTAATAAATAGAAGAGCGCATTGTTCACAATTAAATGATTAATTTTTTAATCAGATTTAGAATCATTTTATTTTAAACTGACGATGTGTTCCTTTATTTATTTTATTATAATTAAAGGTAAAAGACTAACCGTTCGTAAAAGAATCCACCATTTTTATCGAGATGATTAAAGAATTTTGTATATGCTTCACCTCTCCAAAAATTCAAGTCACCGATTTCAAAGTTTGACCAAAAATGACATCTAAATAGTTAATAAACAATTCAATAAAAGTTATTCATGCAAGAGAGTGTAGTTGAAAAAGAGATTTTGATGCGCAGTATAAATTTCTAGAAAACATACAAATTATACGTTTCGCCGTCATCATCTGATATAAAATCCATTAGATTATCTTTTTCAATGTATTGTGGATATTTTTCAATAAATTCTTTGACGGTATCCCAGAGAGTAGGTATAGTTTTTGGGTATTCATATAGTGAAACAGTGAAAGCTAAAAAAAAATAAAAATAAAAAAATTGTAAATTATTTGTTAGTATTACATCCTACAAAATGTTAAATTAAAAAGAAAATGTAAAAGGTAATTACCATATTTAACATCATGATCTCTAATATAGACAAATGGATCAAAGTCAATATCACAATAGAATTGAACACCAGGTTCGACGCGCCAATAATAATCATATTTATCCAACAATTCGTGTTGAAAGAAAAACCCGGATTCAAATCTGAATAAAAAAATAAATTATATTAGGATAAATAGTGGTTGTGAAAGGAGCACAATAGTTAACTTACCTGCACATGTGACGATAAGGTAAACTACCACCGTACAATATTTCATCTTTCATTTTTTCTAAATTTTGATCGACGAGGTCCTTATCTATATGACTTGGAATACTCCAGTGTTTTTCCGGAATCAATCCTGATCATATGTTATGATAAAATATTCGATAAAATATTTGATAACACATTTAATAACGATAATGATATTTGATTATTTCTAATATTAATATTTAAACGTATTTACCATACTCGGTTTTTGCTTTAGTTAGAGCACTTGTAAGTTTCTTGAACTCTTCAGTGAACGGGACATCGTTCAAAAACACGTATGGATAGTTATAGTGACGATTAAATCTGTCTTCGAGTTGTCTCATCGTCGGTCTAAAGCTATGCAAATCACTATTTCGAATCAATATTACAAAGCATGCATTCGCTTTTCCTATTTGTCTAGTAATATTTGGTTTAATATGCCCATGAATTCCGTTTGGAAACTTTTCGTTTGGTGGTAATGGAACTATCTTCAAATCAGGCGATGGTGAATCAGAAAAGCTTATTTGTGGTTCAAATGTTGTAAATAACCAATGAAGGAGGTATATTACAACCAGGGTTAATGCTAGGTATTTGAAGTTGGATCGTCTAATCATGGTAAGATCTCTTAATATGAGAGGGAATGTATCGCGTATTAGATACGAACGTAAGTTAATTGAGAAGTGTTAAATTTAAGATCACAGAGATGATCCTTCCCAAATATGCCACGAGTTCGGTAATAACATTAATGTATGTAATGTAGTAATTCCCCGGAATATTTTGTTTCAAACCTTAAAAAGATTTAAATGGTTATAATTTGGGCATACCGAGATTATAAAGTTAATTTGTATTTGTTATGCAGTTCTGAATAAAGGCAGGGTCTTATTGACTCTTTAACAGCAGCCCTGCCATATTTAGTGCGTAAGTCAAAGACGCGTCAGTAACGATCCCAGCTAGTGCATCTAGATACCCACCCGATGTTGTCTTTAACGATTACAACTTAGTTTGGCACTGTTAGTTTCAACAGACAATTAAATTTGAACCAAGTAAAAAAGGAAAAATCTTAAGGATCTAGCAAAAGTTTTACTAGTTCCTCACGATTTTTCCTTTTAAATTTGTCTTGTAACGCTTAGATATATTAACAATCAGTGATTGGATCCTGTACTTGGGTTACCCGCAGTTATTGTTGTACATTTTTGAACGTCCCGAGCTTTTTTTGTCCCATATCTGATATCGTAATACGTAGTGCATAACTATAATTATATTAAAAAGTTTTTGTTGACTTGATGCATAGCTGATTTTTGGAATGGAATTAGGGCTAGCATTTTTTTATGCTAGCCCTAATTTATTCCAAAAATCAGAGCACATGGGGTAATCTCGATCGATTTAGCTACGACGTTCATTTATTATAATCAATCAAAATAAAAATTGCAATTGATACTTGAGCGATCTATTATTTATAAAATGTTGTCGCCACTAGGTTTAGGTATTCGTTGATATTTGATTGTTGTACGGAATGAAGGAAAATCATAGAATTTGTTGCCAGTTAAAAAATGGTAAACATCCGTAATTGTTTTTTTGGCTTTCTAATATTTATTTTATTTTATTTTTTATAACTTTAGTGCAATGAATAATATAATAATTCGTTGATGATGAGAGTTGGATCCATGACAAAGTTAGGTACTTGAATGATCTTTTTGAATATAAAAAAAGATAGTTTGCGGTAAAAAGTTTGTAAATTGAAATGACAAACTCTTAACATTTTTGATTAATAAAAATCTTTTATTCACGTAATAACTTTAAATATTCATCAATGACAAACACACTTGACCCATTTCCGCTAAGTAAAATCATCCACCGACACTCTTTGACCCATCGATGAAAGCCCTATATATACATATAAAAAGATAGGTAACATAAATTCTTCTTTGCATAAAGGCAGGAATTTAAAGAAAAATATCGCATTGATTTTGCAATGTTATAATACATTCCCAAGCATAAAGATGGGAATCGATTCTGAACACAGAATCGATTTCCGATTATAAAAGGTGTGACATGATTTTCGTGATAGCTGGAAATTCGGAGATTCAAAACGATCGCAAACGACCTGCAGATCGCCGCCGACCCATCATCGGGATTTACTTATAAATTCGAAAGTTTTTTAAAACTTCTAGC